GAGCTTTGGGGTCTGACCTGTGCCAACCAGTGTCACTCCGTGTTGTCACTCCACGTTGTCACTCAGCGTTGTCACTCCACCTTATCACTCCATGTTGTCACTCCGTGTCGTCACTCAGCATTGTCACTCCGTGTTGTCACTCCATGTTGTCATGCAGCGTTGTCACTCAGCGTTGTCACTCAGTGTTGTCACTCCGAGTTGTCACTCAGCGTTGTCACTCAGCGTTGTCACTCCACCTTGTCACTCCACCTTGTCACTCCATGTTGTCACTCCGTGTTGTCACGCAGCGTTGTCACTCCGTGTCGTCACTCAGCGTTGTCACTCCACGTTGTCACTCCGCGTTGTCACTCCGTGTTGTCACTCCACGTTGTCACTCCACGTTGTCACTCCGCGTTGTCACTCAGCATTGTCACTCAGCGTTGTCACTCAGCGTTGTCACTCCGCGTTGTCACTCAGCGTTGTCACTCCACCTTATCACTCCATGTTGTCACTCAGCGTTGTCACTCAGCATTGTCACTCCACGTTGTCACTCCGTGTTGTCACTCAGCGTTGTCACTCCGCGTTGTCAGTCAGCATTGTCACTCAGCGTTGTCACTCCACCTTGTCACTCCACCTTGTCACTCCATGTTGTCACTCCGTGTTGTCACTCCACGTTGTCACTCCGTGTTGTCACGCAGCATTGTCACTCCGTGTCGTCACTCAGCGTTGTCACTCCATGTTGTCACTCCGCGTTGTCACTCCGTGTTGTCACTCCATGTTGTCACTCAGCGTTGTCACTCCGCGTTGTCACTCAGCGTTGTCACTCAGCGTTGTCACTCCGTGTTGTCACTCCACGTTGTCACTCCGTGTTGTCACTCCGCGTTGTCACTCAGCGTTGTCACTCAGCGTTGTCACTCCGCGTTGTCACTCCGCGTTGTCACTCAGCGTTGTCACTCCGCGTTGTCACTCCGTGTTGTCACTCAGCGTTGTCACTCCGTGTTGTCACTCAGCGTTGTCACTCCGCATTGTCACTCCACGTTGTCACTCAGCGTTGTCACTCAGCGTTGTCACTCCGTGTTGTCACTCCACGTTGTCTTCTGTCCCTCCGTGCGGACCTGTGCCATCCTATCCCGACCCACCTTTCTTGGGATGTGTTGACCCTTGTGCTGACCCACATTGATCCGTATTGATCCACACTGATCCATATTGATCTATATTGATCTATATTGATCTATATTGATCCACATTGATCCACATTGATCCACATTGATCCGTATTGATCCACATTGATCCGTATTGATCCACACTGATCCATATTGATCTATATTGATCTATATTGATCCACATTGATCCACATTGATCCACATTGATCCACATTGATCCACATTGATCCGTATTGATCCACATTGATCCACACTGATCCATATTGATCTATATTGATCCACATTGATCCACATTGATCCACATTGATCCGTATTGATCCACATTGATCCACATTGATCCATGTTGACCCACATTGATCTATATTGACCCACATTGATCCATATTGATCCATATTGATCCACACTGATTGATCCACGCTGACCCATGCTGACCCACGCTGACCCACACTGACCCACACTGACCCACGCTGACCCACGCTGACCCACACTGACCCACGCTGACCCACACTGACCCACACTGACCCACGCTGACCCACGCTGACCCATGCTGACCCACACTGACCCACACTGACCCACGCTGACCCACACTGACCTATGCTGACCCACACTGACCCATGCTGACCGGTGTTGACCGGTGCCACTCTGTGTCTCTCCATGTTCTCCAGGTGCTGACCTCACCCATGCTGACATGTGTTGACTCACGTTGAGCCACGCTGACCGGTGCCACTCCGTGTCTCTCCAAGATGATCTGTGGTGACCAGTGGTGACCAGTGGTGACCTGTGGTGACCTGTGGTGACCTGTGGTGATCTGTGTTGACCAGTGGTGACCCATAGTGACCCAGGGTGACCCATGGTGACCCATGGTGACCCGTGGTGACCCGTGATGACCCATGGTGATCCATGGTGGCCCGTGTCACTCTGTGTCTCTCCAAGCTGATCTGTGTTGACCAGTGGTGACCCATGGTGACCCATGGTGACCCATGGTGACCCATGATGATCCATGTCACTCTGTGTCTGTGCAGGCTGACCCCACTGTACAGGTGACCCCAGCAATGACCCCTTGTATGACCCCACAACCCCTCAGCTGCAGCTGCTGCCCCCTCTGACCCACCCAGCCCCAAGGGGTCAGTCACTCGTGTGACGTCACTGTGACATCACACCCAGCACTGTGACATCACTGCTGGTGCCATGCCCTGCCCCCATCACAGCTGGCACCATGACGTCACAGGTGACATCACAGATGACATCACTGTGGTTCCCATCAGCCCAACACTTCTCCCTTGGGTGGCTCCCAAATTCCGGGGTGTCCTGTGACACCTGTGTCCCCTCAGACACCCAAATTCCGGGGTGTCCTGTGACACCTGTGTCCCCTCAGACACCCAAATTCCGGGGTGTCCTGTGACACCTGTGTCCCCTCAGACACCCAAATTCCGGGGTGTCCTGGGACACCTGTGTCCCCTCAGACAGGGGTGACACCCAAATTCCGGGGTGTCTCAGGACACCTGTGTCCCCTCAGACAGGGGTGACACCCAAATTCCGGGGTGTCCTGGGTTAGGGTCACACCTGTGTCCCCTCAGACAGGGGTGACACCCAAATTCCGGGGTGTCCTGTGACACCTGTGTCCCCTCGAGTGGGGGTGACACCCAAATTCCGGGGTGCTCTGGACACCTGTGTCCACTCAAGTGGGGGTGACACCCAAATTCCGGGGTGTCCTGGGTCACCTGTGTCCAGTCGAGTGGGGATGACACCCAAATTCCAGGGTGTCCTGGGACACCTGTGTCCCCTCAGACAGGGGTGACACCCAAATTCCGGGGTGCTCTGGGACACCTGTGCCCTCTCGGTGACAGTGACACCTGGATTTTGCTGTGCCCTGCGACACCTGTCCCCAACGGGGATGTCACCGAAATCCCGGGATGCCCTGGGAAAGCTGCGTCCCCTCGGGCGGGGGTGACACCCGAATTCTGCTGTGACAGCCGTGTCCCCTGGGCGAGTACAGGGGTGACACCCGAATTCCGGGTGCCCCGGGGGCGGTGCCCCGAAACCCGCGTCCCCTCGGGCGAGGGCGGGGGGGGTGACACCGGCGCTCGGAGCCGCCCGGAGCTCGGCCCGCGGGGCTGGGCGGGCTCTGTCCCCTCCCCGCGGTGCCACTCGCGGGTCCTCCTGTCCCCGCGGCGGGGGTGGCACCGGCAGCGCCCCGGCCGCGCGTCCCACGGGCTCGGCAGCGACAGGTGAGGGACGCGGGGTCAGGAACATCCCGGGGTGGGCAGGGGACACAAAATCAGGGTGAGCAGGGGACTCAAACCCCCCCCCAGGGTGGGCAGGGGACTCAAACCCCCCCAGGGTGGGCAGGGGACACAAAATCAGGGTGAGCAGGGGACCCAAACCCCCCAGGGTGGGCAGGGGACCCAAAACCCCCCAGGGTGGGCAGGGAGCCCCTGAGTCCGGGCACCCCCGAGCTGCCCCCCATAAAGAAGGGACCTGGAGCTGGCGGGGGTTCCCAGCCCGGGGTTGATGCTGATTTTGGGGGGGCGGGGGGTCTCTCCAGGGTCGCTGGTGCTGCAGAGCCCCCCCAGTTTGTGCCATGATGGACACGGGGGACAGGGGACGACGCAGCCCCCCCCGGCTGGCACAGGTGATTTGGGGGGGGACACTCAGGTGATGGGGGGGGGGACCCCCAAGCACCCGGGGAAGCCTCGATCCCCACTGAGGGGGTCACAGGGGGTGGGGGAGTGGAGGCCTCCGGCATTTGGGGGGGTCCCAGCCCCCCCCTCTTTGGCTGGGGACCCCCGGCGCCCCCTCCGCGGCCCCCCTGGCCCCCCGCCAGCCCCCGGGGCTGGAATTGGGACACGGGGCGGGGACAGGGACACAGCGGCGGGCGCCCCTCCCCCCCCCGTGGGAACGGACACATCCCCCCCACCCCGCCCCAGCTCCCCCCCGACCCCCCAAAATTCTCCCCCTGTTTGTCTCACCCCCCCGCTCGAGCCCCCTGAGGGGGTCCCTGGATTTTTGGGACCCCCTGGACATCCGGGTCCCTCCGGACTCCGGGGACCCCCAAAGATCTGGGGCTCTCCAGACCCCCGGGACCCCCTGGACACCTGGGGCACCCCAAGAACATCATCATCCTGCCCCGGACTTGGGGAGCCCCCCCAGACATACAGGGCACCCCGAAATCCTGGGAACCTCCTGGGCCCCTCGAACTCGGGGGGTCCCCCGGATTTTGGGACCCCTCCCCCCAAACTTTGGGACTCCCCGGCCCTTTGGGACCCTCCGGACACCTGGGAGTCCCCAAATTCCTGGGACCCCCAGGACACTTGGGGTCTCCCAGACCCCGGGGATTCTCTGGACGCCCCCAGGACCCCCCCGGGTATTTGGGAACCCCTGGACCCAAATTTTGGGTCCCAAGGCCTCCAACTCTTGGGACACCCCAGAATTTGGGGGTTCCGTGGACCCCTGGGACCCCCCCAGGCTTTTGGGATCCCCTGGATTTTGGGTCCCCCCAAAATTTCTCCCCCCACCCCCCCCCCCCGCAGGCCCAGCGCCGCCGGGACCTGGAGGAGGAGCTGCGGGACCTCAGCAGCCAGGTGGGCGTGGCTTGCGCTATGGGGCGGGGCCAGCAGCTGTCAATCACAGCCTGGCCCCTCCTCTCACCGAGGAGGGTGGGGTGTGTGGCTGTCAGTCAGCCAAGTGGGCGGGGCTATGAGCTGTCAATCATGCATGGGAGGAGCCTAGGGCTGTCAATCATCCCTGCCCAATCAGGTGGCAGCGTTAGGGCGGAGCCTGGCGGCAGAACGTGGGCGGAGCCTGATGGAGGGCGGGGCTCTGCGGGCGCTGGAGATCGCGGTGGGCGGAGCCCAGGCCCGGGTGGGCGGAGCCTGTCGGGCCCTGGACCGGGCCAAGGAGCGGCTGCGGCTGCAGCAGGTGGGCGGGGCCGGGTAAAGGGGGTGGGGCTATGGGGGGTGTGGTCTGTGGGGAGGAGCCTTTGGAAGGGGCGTGGCTGATGTGGGGCATAGGTGTGTGGGTGGGGTGTGGTCTGTGAAGGAGGCGGGGCATAAGGGGCGGAGCTTTTTGAGAGTGGGAGGGGCCATGGTGGGGGTCTGAGGGGGTGGAGCCCCTGGCGTGTGTAGTCAGGGCATGGGTGGGGCTATGATGGAGCTAAAGGGGGCGTGGTTCTGCCAAAGGGGGCGTGGTCTGACGGTTGTGTGGCTATGAATGAGTGGTGGAGCAGTGGGCGTGGCCAGGTGTGTGGGCGTGGTCTATCTCTGACCCCGCCCCTCTGCAGGAGGCGGGGCAGCTTCTGTGGGTGGAGCTGGAGGCCGCTCGTGCTGCCAAGGTCGGGGCGGAGCTCCGGGCACAGGAGGCGGAGTCTCAGTGCCAGGCCCGGGGGGCGGAGCTGGAGCGGCTGCGCCAGGTGGGCGGGGCTAAGGCGAGGGGTGGGGCTATGGACAATGGGCGGGGCTTTAGGAGCAGGGGAAAGGACCAATGGGCGGGTCTATAACAACACGGGGGCGGGGCTAAGGACCAATGGGTGGGGCTAGAACAACATGGGGTGGGGCTAAGGACCAATGGGTGGGGCTATAACACATTGGGGCGGGGCTAAGGACCAATGGGTGGGCTATAACAACATGGGGGCGGGGCTATAACAGATTGGGGCGGAGCTAAGGACCAATGGGTGGGACTATAACAGCCTGGGGGTGGGGCTAAGGACCAATGGGTGGGGCTATAACAGCCTGGGGGCGGGGCTAAGGACCAATGGGTGGGGTATAATAGATTGGGGGTGGGGCTAAGGACCAATGGGTGGGACTATAACCGATTGGGGCGGGGCTAAGGACCAATGGGTGGGGCTGTAACAACATGGGGGTGGGGCTATAACAGCCTGGGGGCGGAGCTAAGGACCAATGGGTGGTTCTATTGCTGCTGGGGGTGGGGCTGTGGAACAATGGGCGGGGCTAAAGGAGCCAACGGGAGTGGCTCGGTTGGTGGACGTGGCTTGGGGCGTGTCCGTGCTGGCCCCGCCCACAGGCGGTGCAGGCTGCCCAGCTCTCCCGGCGCCGGGCGGAGCAGGAGCGCGACCAGGTGGCTGCAAAGGTGGGCCACGCCCTCCAGACCAGGTGAGCACGGCCACGCCCCCCCCAGTGTGTCCCCGAGAGTCCCAGTGTCACCTATAGCCCCTATAACTCCCAGGGGTCCCCCTGTAGCCCCTGTCTCTCCCCCATAGCCCCTATATGTTCCCATAGCCCCTATAGCCCCTATAGCACCTGTATGCCCCTATAGCCCCTATAGTCCCCCTATAGCCCCCGTATGCCCCTATAACCCGACTGTGTCCCTGTTGTCCCCATGTGTCCCTACAGCCCCCCTATAGCCCCCCATTGCCCCCTATAGCCCCTATAGCCCCCATAGCTCTCTATAGCCCCCCATAGCCCCCCATTGCCCCCTATAGCCCCTA